AGATAAAGAAAACGGGTACGGCGTCACATTTGTCATAAATACTCGGTTATTCGAGTCAAAACTGACCTGAACCGAAAAATCTTGAAACCGACCCGAACCGACCTGAAAGCTGTTCGGTTCGGGTCCGATTTTTGGGTCAGTTCGGTTCGTTACACCCCTAGATTTAGGGCAACAAATGATGAATGATGTAGATGAAGGGATTATAGTGATTAAAAGGAATTGGTGGAGATTGAGAAATTATTGAGATTGAGAGTGATTGAGGAGATGGAGAGAAATTGGTGGAAATGGATTTGTATAGATTGAAATCGCCACATGTCATCTTTTCATTTGTTTGATTGTTGGATGTCACGTCGCCATAAGTATGTCCTTTTGATGCCACATGTCAAATTTTGAGTCGTCCACTTGTCCATGTCACCCACCACGTAAGATTGGTTCACTTGTCCATGTCACTTGCCACGTAGGATTTATTTCTCCTGACTTGGTTTTTATCATAACTTATTCGTTTAAACTCCAATTTGAGTGATTTGACAGGCGTTGGTTTTGTATTTTCAAGCTCTACGCAATGGACACTTTGAAGCTATAAAGCTAACAATCTCCCCTTTTTTTATGATGACGAACCACTCAAGAAAATACATTTTCAAAGTGGACTATTCTCCCACTTTTGTTATTATCAAAAACAATTTCCATGAAAATTCAGCTCCCCCTTAATAAGATAATTATTGCATGGTAGAAAAAAATTCTCCCCCTCAATCAAATATACATATTGAAAAATTTTCTCCCTAATAAACACGTTCAGACAATTAAATGCGAATGATGTCAAGTGCAAGTTTATTGCTACAAAATTCTTCTTCATTTAATGGTTTAGTAAGAATATCTGCTACATGTTTTTCCGTGTGAACATAATTAAGCACAATATTTTCATTTTGCACATGTTCTCTAAGAAAACGTTGTCGGATATCTATGTGTTTTGTCCTAGAATGATGAATGGGATTTTTGGTTAAATTAATTGAACTAGTATTATCACAAAAGATTGGAACATGTTCAAAATTTAAACCAAAATCACGCAATATTTGTTTCATCCATAAGACTTGAAAGCAACAGCTAGGAGCAACAATATATTCAGCCTCAGTAGTAGATAATGCAACAAAATTTCTCTTTTTACTAAACCAGAAGACTAGAGAGCACCTAAAAACTAGCAAGTTCTACTAGTACTCTTCCTATCAGTTAAGCTACCAGTAAAATCAGCATCAAAATAAGCAATTAAAGCAAGAGACGCATTCTTAGGATACCATAAATCCAAGTCAACAGTTCCAAGCAAGTATTTAAAAATTATTTTAACAGCATGCAAATGGGATTCTTTAGGACGTGATTGAAATCTAGCATACATGCATACAATGAACATAATATTTGGTCTACTTGCAGTTAAATAAAGCATGGATCCGATCATACCTCTATAAGCTTTTAACTATTTACATTTTTACCTTTTTCATCTTTATTAAGCTTTGTGGTTGTGCTCGTCGAAGCTTTACTACTTTGGCATTATCGACTATAACAAAAGCATAATGTTTTCCACTTAGACTTGCAACTCTAGTCGGTCCAAATAGGTCCATATGTATGGTTGCAAAGGCATAGAAGTAGAAACCATTTTCTTTGGTTTATAGGACGACTTAGTTTGTTTACCCATTTGACATGCATCACAAACTTTGTCTTTTTCAAATTTTTTTGGAAGATCTCGAACAAGAGATTTCTTGGAAATATTTGAAATCAAATACTTGACTATGCCACAACTAATAATCATCATGCATAGTTGACAAGCATTTATTAATAACAATTGGGCAGTCATTCAATTCAATAGTATAAACATTTTTATCTCTATTTCCCACAAACAATATTTTTCCATCACAATCATTTTCAATTATGCAATTTTTATCATTAAATACTACTTTATAACATTTACCACATTATTGACTAATACTTAAAAGATCATGCTTTAAACCATCAACAAGCAACATATTTTCAATCACAAATTTTTAACCATTACATATGTTACCTTTGCCAAT